CAGCGCAGGGTTTATGTGAGAGAGAGGGAGAGAGCGTCACACACACACACACACACACACACACACACACACACACACACACACACACACGCAAACACAGAGAGGTCTCTCTGTGCAAAACTTACTGGCCGGCGCGTCAAACTTCCACTACTGCAAGTTTTGGAAATGGCCTATCTGTGTCTCCCGTGGAAGGGGACAAAAGATATTCATGCTAGAATAACGCCGTCATTTTCGCTGCAGGAAATGTAACAGGTCCTCAGATTGGAGAGTCACGGGCTCGGCGGCGAGGAAGACAGACTCCAAATAAATGGGAACTTAACGGAAGGAGGAAACGAAGCAGAGTATCTTCGAATTGTGCAGGTAATCGAACAGCACAAAACGAAACGACTGGGACAAGAAGGAGATGACGTAGAGGAGCCGCGCAAACAAAAGACGCGAGGAAACATGTGAGAAGAACAGAAATTCCTGGACAGCAGGCAATCGGTGTGCCAACCGAGAGAGAAAAGCGTGGGAACTGAAATGCAGAGAGAAAAGAGGGGAAAAGAGGGGAGAATACCGGCGAAACAAAGAGGGCAAAAAAGAACCGCAGAGGTGAATAGAGAATGGCGAGCGAGACGAGAATTGCAGAGCCGGAAGAGCGTGGCAGAGAAGAAGGAGGTGAGAATGGAAGGAACGGGCAGGGAAAAATAACAGGGTGGAGAAGAAGAGTCAAGAACAGACGAGCACCCAAGGAGAGGTATCGACAAGGAAGAAACAGGCAGGAGAAAAATAGAAGAGTAGAGAGCAGGTAACAACAACAAAAAAAAAAAACAAAAAAAAAAAACAAAGCGAAGAACAATAACCGGCAGAGGAATTGCTTTAAAGAGAAGATCAGAGAAATTAGCGCAAAGAATAACTCAAAAGAGTGCAGGAGAGGAAAAACGAGAGGTGGAGAGGAAAAAGAAGAGAGCTGACACACCCAGTCCAAGTGGCTGAATGGTAAGAAGAGAGAAAGGGGGAAATTTTGGAGCAAAGAATCACCTGGCTGTTAGTAAACAGATCATCCTTTCGAATTTCGACAGAATCAGAAAAAAGAGCGAAAGGGAAAGAAGAGGGGGGAGCGTGGTGGAAGACGAAGACACGAGAGAAACGGAAAAGAGACGAGAACAGAGATGACACGAGAAGATGAAAGAAACCGTCTCACAGAGAAGAGGAGAGAGAGAAATTAAATATAAAGCTTAAGAGAAGAGAAAAAAGAGAGGGATGACAAAAATAGAGTACGAAAGAGCGGGCTGTTCGCGAGCCGCACGACAGTTGGATCGCCCTCACGAGAGAAAGCAAGAGAAAAGCAGAGAGAGAGACACAGAGAGAGAGAGAGAAGAGGCAAAGAGGAGAGTAGGAGAACGACGAGAGACGTCAAAGATAACGAAGGAAAAAGGAGGAGGAGAGCCTGCACCGCCCAGGGGAAACCCTGGACGGTAGAGGGGTACAGGGATGTTTTTGGTCACAGGTTCCAATCCTATAGGTTGGCGGATTCTTGGGGAGAGTGGCCGAGTGGTTCAAAGCAAGACTAGGTTATATTTCTTTTTTCTTTTTTTTTTTTTGGAAAGTTGTCAATATATTGCAAAAATTATATTTCTACGTAGGTTCGAATCCTGCCTCTCCGACTTCGTCGCCTTCATACACTTTTAGAGCATACTCACACATCCGGGGTAGGCCCTCAAACTCGCAAAATCACATAATATGAGCGGCCAGATCGAGTCCTTGTAAAGGAAGGACTAGATCTGGCCGCTCATTTTGGGATTTTGCGATTTTGAGGGCCTAGTGTGAGTGTGCCCTTATTAATTTAATTTACATGTAATAATGTGTTAGGGAAAGAAAAAGACTCACCGGGCTGTTCTCATGCACTAGGAGATCTCGATAAAGTGTAACCGTTGGATCGCCCTCGAAATCTCCGCTGTCTCCAGGGTCGACAAGTCTAGCCAGAGCTTTGACCGCGTAGACACGCACAAGAGCAAATCTGTCATGAACCCGTTTCCTTAGCACGTTGAGCAGGTCCTCCCACAGATCATCAGCGAGCTCTGCCTCCTCTGGCATGTGGTTCAGAATTTCCGCGATCAGTTGCGCAGCCCGAAATCTCGCCGCCTTCTCTCTTGCCTCTACGAAGGCCAGCAAGAATCCAAGAAAAGCCATAGCGAATGCATCCGCTTCTTCCTCCATCCCTGCTTGTCTGAACGTCGCAAACTCTGCAACGAAACGCACTAACCTCTCAATCGCAGGCTCTCTTTTCTTAATCAGGAAAAGGGGAAGAAGCCTGCGCCCGAACTCCATCAGGAAAATGTCGCCATGTTCTTTCCTACATTGCACTAGCCTTCGGATATGGCGTTGAAACACGGCGATGCTCCTCTGGCATTCGTCCAGAGCCTCCGGTATGCTCTCCGATGGAGGACCGATCGACCGCTTACCGCCTTTCGCCATGTCTTCTTCCACGCCTATCTTCTGTCTTCGCAACTATCTCCTCCGCGCTTTATCTTCTGCACCTATCTTCCTGCGTGTGAAGAGCAATCGGCCATTGCTTGTCTTTCTCCTCCACCTATCTTCCTCACCTGCCGCTGACGTGGCAAAGCGGTTTAGCAGCGCTCCCTGCCAGACCCGCTGACAAAGCGGGGGGAGGTCGCAAACGGCCAGCGGCTAGTTCCCGCGCGCCAATTGCAAACCGCGCTTTTTCAAAAGCGGTTCGGAGAATACCTCTCCTCTACTTCCCGCGATTTTCCTCCGCATCTTTTTCAAGCGGTTCGGAAATCCCAAGCCCGAGGTCTGGCAGAAACCATGGGCTTGTGCCCCACCGCCACCTCTTCGAGGAGATTCCTCGGAGTAAGACAAGTACCACCGGTAGGGGCATATTGAACATATTTCAGGTCCAAATGACGTGAATTAATACGCCCCTACCCGGTACCAGTAAGATAGGGCCTAGTTCTACACCACTACAAAACCCTTACATGTAACGTTTTCATGGCTCCACCCCTCCCTAATCAGGAAGAAAAAGAAGTCGAATTTGCTTTCACATTCGCTTCCGTAAGGGCGGGCCCTACAAAAGCAAGGACTCCCCAGTCAAAACGGACCTTGAAGTAAGGACGCCCGAGGAGGTGACTTGAAAGTAAGGGATGGCACCCTTACATCCACGAAAAAACCTTTTTTTTTTTTCTCGTTTTTTTAAACCACCAGTCCCCCCGCCGCCGAAAACCCTCGAACTAACGGTAGGCCTGCATCGGCCTGTATTTTTTGGTACACCGGTCGCTTGCGGCCTACCGGGTCCAGGTTCGATTCATGGTACCCGAATGAAACAGTCGGCACTCCGCAACGCTATGTCCGAGCTGTTCCCCCCCCCCACATCGAAGTGACCGCCCCGACCGATTTTTCCATTCACGTAAAAAAATGAAAGTCTTTTTTTCTGATATTATCATGATTTTATCATTTTTGTAATTACATTTTGTAGTTTTTTTTTTTTTTTTTTCACAATCCTGACGGCCGTCTGGAAAAGGACACCATCGAAAGGCCACCGTCGTTTCAGGTCTGGCGCTCGACCTCGTGTCCTGTCGCCATGCCCTTCCGAAAAGCCAGCGATGGGTGGCCATTCTTCGTCCACGTGTAAGTTTCCCACGTGGCGCCATATCGTCACGGACGAAACCGTGCAGTCGGCCATCCGTTGCGAACCCCCACCTACTCCCCGCCCCCTAGCCGTTGCACCCATCCGATGTGGCGACCCTATCTCGGACGGCTGACGTGGTGGGGACTTTATCTGCTGCGATCGTACAATCGTGTCGACAGGGTGCGACATCGTCGTCTGTCTGTCTGCCTCTCTCTCTCTCTCTCTCTCTCTCTCTCTCTCTCTCTCTCTCTCTCTCTCTCTCTCTCTCTCTCCGCCCATGTCCCTCCATGTTCACATTTCCATAAAACGATCGTTGTTGCCATCGTCGATATCATCCGAGATTCGACTTAGACGAGTGTCGTCTTGTCGTTTTACCTCAGGCATCGGCGACAGCGACAGCCAGTGAGTCCGCTAGCCATACGACCCACCAGCGAAACCCCATTGTTTTGACCTCTATGCCACCCATTCACCACCATCATGGACTCTCTAATCGACAAAATCGCCGAAATAACCCCCACCCAACCCCCACCCCACCATGATAGCGATGGAGAGATCCGGTTCCCGAGGAATCGGAAATGGTTTCAGCTCGCCGTACGGGAGCTGATGGCGCCCTTTGTTCCGGTAGCAAACTACACATGATTGAATGTACCGGTTGACGTCGCTGATGATGTCCGGCCAGTGAAATCGTTGGCGGAGACGTGCAAGTGTGCGTGCGACGCCAAGGTGTCCCGCCAACCGCGAATAGTGGTATTCGCCAAGGAGGCAAGTGCGCAAGATGTGGTCTTGGGGAACACACATAAGTTCTTGCCTCGTGTATGGAGAAGCAAGTAGCCGTCGACAATGCGATAGTTGTTTGCCAGCGGGTGATCCGATGATAAGTCCGCATAGAGTGTGGAGAATCCCGAATCTGACTTGTATCCATTTACAAAATGTTGTTGCAGGTTCTCGTCGAGGCCGAATGTGGAGTGCACCAAGACGCGGTCGAGCGCATCAGTCCGGCACCGCACAAGGCAGCGCGGGACCCTCCCGGTCGCGTCACGCAGGAGTTGGTTCTTAATCCTCGTCGCGATATATACATGGAGCTTCCGCAAGCCGCTCCGGCTGAGTGCGCCAGCCATACCTCTCGCAAGTCCCTACGACAGGATAGAGCCTACGCGAGGCACAACTTACCTCCACCTTACGGGAGTTGTCACCTCCCTTCGGTGGGCGTATCCCCTCCGAGCTACAAGTCCACAGTACGAAAGTTGATCAGTTGCAATCGCAGAGGTGGACCAGTCGATGACGTTTCTCGTTCGCTTTAGCATAGGGGGTACGCACGGTATTACGCCTCTATCGAACCCGCACGCAAACCGGTATCTTGGGCGGTTGAGGTCCCAAGCGTGATTCATCGCCGGTCGCCTATGACGCATCCCGCACACACCACGCGCACACCACTCTAAAAAACATAAAAATAAAACACACATACACATACACATATACGAAACGACATAGGACAAACAACGCGACATCACTCCTAGTCCCTTATTGGTCATCCCATAACTCTCCGATCCGAAAATCGGATAGGCGTCGTGCGCGAGACTTTAATATAAAATCGCACGGCGCAGGGCTAACTCATATCGACTCACAATGCAAGCGTATGCAAGCGGTCGCAGTAATGACGTACTATATAGTACCCATACTCATGCGGTCCTCGTTAATCTCGAGGATCACATTCAACACTCAAGTGTCGGCTGATACGCGCCTCGAGGGATTGATCTCTCAACGCTGGACAACCGCCAAGTGCGGTTGAAAACCACACCCTCTTCTGCACCCTGTGAAGAGTGGGTGGTAGACAAGTTCATACCTGTGGTGACAATTGTCTCTTATTGCCTTGGAGACCAGCTCCTTCACCTAGGGTCTGGAGATAAGTCAAGAGGTTTGACTTTGAGGGTTGTCACGGACTACAACGTCCAACTATAAATTTTAAAAAGCAAATGATAAAAGAGGATTTCCCTTTTCTCTCAAAAACATAATTTGTTTAACCCTTACGCGCGGTCACAGTAGACCACGCGAAACACTCAAAACATATATATTTACATATATATAAAAGGTTATAAATATGTGACGATCACTTCTCACAGTCACAGCGGGGCTCCTCTCAGCGCTATATACTTATAAGTGAGCGCAGACAGTCAAATCCAAAGTCCGAATCGCCAAACATACCTGCAATCACATCAAAGATTCAGCCAAAAAGTTCATGCACTACACGGGGTCAACTTCAACCATTCTCTGCACTCACACCCCTTGCTTTTAACCATACAAGCCTCACTCTTTGTGCAACTCTCAAAATAAAATACTCAGTATTTTTTTTAAAATGGTCATTCAAAATAAAGACCGGGTGAAAACACAACAAAACAGTTCAAATCACAAGGTTAAAGATTTTAGGTTGAGTGGCAGGAGTGAATTGAAGTTGAATCGTAGACCGACGAATCAGCAACCGACCTGTTATCAGTGATAACAGAAGATGATCCTCGTAGGATCAAGTTGAATATAGCCAAAATCTTAAATCAATCGATCAAAAAGACCTGTAACATAAGACATGTCAATCCCCAAACTAAAATCATAAGTGTATGGAGAATACAACTCCATATCACGATTTTACTCAAATCATCCTATTTAACTAAGTTTAAATCTACCTCTAAGCAAATGTCAAAGAAAAGGTAGACCTTTGGCAGAATTTCCTCTATACAGAGTGAACTGCCAAAATTGTCACCTGTCAGAATATAATCTAACTCCTTTAAACTAAGAAAATTTTGGCAGCGCTTCCCGTCGGAAAAGTGTTTTCTCATAATTTATACTAACTCACATATAGAAACATAAATAATCTTCACCTCTGAAAAGTCAAATTTTGTCTAACTCCTTGAATTAGCAAAAATTTGGGCAGCACTCCCCATAAAAAATGAGACTTTCCAGATTTTTATTAATCCATATATATACAAATAAGACAAGTTGAACTTTTAAAAAATCAAATTTGACTAACTCCTTGAATTTGCAGAAATTTCGGCAGCGCTTCCCGTATAAAAAGTAGCTATCAAAATTTATACAAAGCCAAGTTCAGAATCTAAAGATGATTTTGAATTCCCAAGGTCTAATTTTATCTAACTCCCTTAATTAGCAAAAATTTGGGCAGCACTCTCTTTAGAAAAAAAGACTCTCCATATTTTTACTAAGTCATATATATAAGTTAGACAAACTAAACTTTGAAAAGACAAAATCTGACTAACTCCTTGGTTTTGTAGAAATTTCGGCAGCGCTTCCCGTAGAGAAAGTGGCTTACCAAGATTTATACAAGGCCAAGTATAACAAAAAATCCCAGAAATTGCAGAAATTGACCTAAGTATAAAAATTTTAGCTCAGAAAATGCAGGAATTAAAACTAACTCATATGGCTCTAGCACGTGGCGAACAACTAAAGCAACTACCTATCAAACTGAAACTCAGACTGAGTAGTAGCCTCACTTAGTCACATGCAGGTCATACCACAAAGGTAAGTACTCTCACCATCCCAAAGTCAACTTAGCAAACAATAGTTCATAGTCTTTCAATGTTTTATCCCTTTATACCCAACTTACATAGGGCATAAAACTAGACCACCCAAACTTATGGGACATGTCTAGCTTAGCCATGAAGTATACACAAACACAGAGCACAACAATTTTTCTCTTCTTCGGGCATATGACTAGGTCACCCTAGTCGCCCTCAACTGTTTAAGTATCAAAGTTATATATATCTCTCTGAACTTAAACTTCAAGATGGGCGTAAAACTGAGCCATTCATCTTAGAAACAATGCTCAACCGGCCCAAGTTACCCCCAGTTATACTCTTAATTAATACTCTCTTCAGTTTGTGATAAGTTATAGTCAGGCCACCCAAACTTATGGGACCCTGCCTGACTAGCCTGTTCATAGGTAAAAGTAGT